TGGGTAACAAAGTATGTGAAGGTCCACAAATGTTCAGTAGCAGAATGGCTTTACCGTTTGAAGTCTACTCCGAATTATATTGGTAGGCTGTTTATAAGCCATTTGGGCATAATTGATCGACTTACACCTCAATATGTTAAGGATTCAATGAAACGTATGTTTGGCATCAAGATGGATTATACTACATAAAATCTTTGATATATGCCCAACAATTAGTTAGGGAACAGCTGAAGATGGATATGTGAGTCTCCCTGTTTACCTACATTCACTTAAAAAAGCCAATCCGGGAACTGACACAGCTCTTCATGTTGATTCAAAGAATAAATTCAAATACCTATTTCTGGCCTTTGGAGCATCGATAGCTGGTTTTCATTACATAAGAAGAGTTATTGTGGTGGATGGATGTCATCTAACTGGGAAATATGAAGGTACTTTGTTATCGGCAACCGCACAAGATGGTAATTTACAGATATTTCCTTTGGATTTTGGAATTGTTGATGGTGAAGATAATGCTTCATGGGAATGGTTTTTTTTCAAAACAGTGTGAATGAATCTTATGTTTGGCATCAAGATGGATTATACTACTTCATACTAATCTTTGATATATGTCCAACAATTGGGGAGGAGAACAGCTGAAGATAGATATGCGAGTCTCCCAGCTTACTTACATTCACTTTAAAAAAGCCAACCCGAGAACTGTAGCAGCTCTTCATGTTGATTCCAAGAATAAATTCAAATACCTATTTCTGGCCTTTGGAGTAACGATAGCTGATTTTCAGTACATGAGAAGAGTTATTGGGATGGATGGATATCATCTAACTGGAAAATAAGAATGTACTTTGTTAGTGGCAACCGCACAAGATGTTAATTTCCAGATATTTTCTCTGGGTTTAGGAATTGTAGATGGTGAAGATAATGCTTCATAGGAAAGGGTTTTTTTCAAAACTGCGTGAATGTATTTCATATGGTTATCCTTTGGTGATAGTTTCTGACAGGCATACTTCTATTAAGAATGCATGTGAAACTGTTTTCCCATGGACAAGACAATGGATATGTTATTATCATCTACAATTTCACATAGTAACAAAGTTTTAAGGGGAAGCACTTGATGTACTTGGTCGAACGTGTTGGTTATGCGTACAATTCCTACGATTACAACTGGTACATGGCAGAGTTATGGCAGTTCAAGCCTGATCTTGCTGAGTATTTGGAAGAAGCTGATGTGAAGCTTTGGTCCCGAGTTCATTTATGTGGAGACAGGTACAATATTAAGACTAGCAATATCACAGAATCTATAAATTCTGCACTTAAGAAAGTCCGTGGTTATCCCGTATCATTTCTCTTGTAGTTGATATTAGAGAAGCTCGGTCGGTGGTTCTTTAAACGCAGAGAAGATGCTTTGAGTCTCACAACACATAATGCTCAGAGAGTTAAATATTTGCTGGCGATTCGTGGACATTATGCAGATGCAATGGTGGTGGAACGCATTGATGCTTGGAGATTCTATGTGAAAGAAGGAAACCAGAATTGTTTTGTCCATTTGGAACATCGAATTTGTGAATGTGGTGTGTTCTATACCTGTAGATTCGACATCTGCGTTGGAAGTCTACTACATTTGTCTATGTAAGAAGTCTGCTGTATTATTTGTTAAACGGTTTAAGTATGAAACAATTATCTATGAATCGACTGTAATGACTTTAACGGTGTATCTGTCAGACCGAATATTTATCTATGTTCTTTCTGCATAAAAATACACCATGATAACGAAGATCAGTTCCATTCCAGACCTAAGAAAATGTCCATCCTAATAAACTTCAACGCTCTCTCTTCAGATATTCTGTGGGAGATCCTTCTAAAAATCACTTCTTCTTCGTATGATGTTCTTTAAAGCAAGGATTTCTTCCAAAACTCTATATGAGATTTCTAATGAAGAGGGTTTTTTAAGAGCAGTTGATCTAATATCCTTGAAAATTCTCTGGGTCTGGGATCAACATATGAGGGTTGATGCATTCTTTAGGTGCTGTTTGGACTGTGGAGATCTTACATCGCAATTCCTAAGAGGTGTATCTCTAATCTTCTTTAAAGATATCATCCCAGTCGGGTTAGATTTAATCTGGGTGTCATCAAACGTAGGATGCCTCATGGCTACACACTGCATGATTATGTTTTCTTTAACCATGGATGGCAGCCATGATGTATTCAACTCCATTCATGGTATAACCCCGTCAGAGGCAACGAAGATGAAGAAGACTATGCAGCACATCAACAGGTCTCTGTGGACTTTTAAGGAGCCTGACGAGTTCCACGAACTGGTTTTCCCGATTTTACAAAAGCACAATCACGGAGTTGTGATTATATGAGTTGCCAAACATGCACTGGATCAAAACCTGGTCGATACATATGGCGACTAACTCTGTAGTCCATGCTTATGAAAGTTAGAATGTGCCATATTCTAGAAAACAATCCCTGGATTTGCTAATGAATGGCAACTTCTCTGTTCCACGATAGCCACACTCGTCAAATATCTCTATAGCCATTTTTTTCCCTGATGGCTCTGATGTTTTTATCACAAAGTTGCGGAGGAAATGGCAAATTCAGAGCATGACACTCAATGTACTTCAGGCAGTAGACTCCACAATCACCACTCTGATAGTTCTGAGGTATCTCCTTTGCTGGTACTAGTCTTCAGTAGGTGCACACGTTTGCAGAAGGTAGGGTAGTGTGTGAGCCAAAACTCGCACAACCAAGAAATTTGTTAAGGAAAACTTAAGGGATCCAAAATTTCTAGGGTTGATCACAAGAACAGCAAGATCGAAGGAAAGTTTTTATTGCTGTGAAAGTCTTTAGTCTTTATTGCTTAGGGTTGCAAAAGTTACATAATGAATCGCGTAAATCTTCTATTTAATAATTCTCTAAATCGCCTAGCCAAGAATCTCGGGAGAGATTTTTGGAATATTTCCTTATCGCTTTGTGTGGCTGCCGTCACGATACTTCGCCTAGGATTTTTATGGGTTTTCATCCTTCCAGGCTTCGGTTCGGCCCATCTGAACAACCGGCTTGGGCCAACACAGGAGAAAACGGCTTGGCCCATTCCTCTTCTTGCACAGCTCGGCCCATTCTTCGTTCTCTTCACGGCTCGGCCCGTCTGTCTTTGTCCGCGGCTCGGCCTACTCGTTTTAATGAACATGGCTCGGCCCACTTGTTTGGTAGGTCGGTTCGGTTCATGTCTGGTGGGCAGATGCTCTCCCTAAATCGGTTTTCTTCGGTACTTGGTCACTTTCGAGATGGTTTGATAAAGGAGGGGTGAAACCGACCCCAACAGTTAGCCCCCCAGCTCGTCAGTTTCGGAGACGAGAGTGATGAGGTTCATTGCTCCTGGCCATAGGATAAACCATCGAGTTAGGCCATTGTGAAACGATTTTGGGCGAGCCGTTCTTTAACGGAGCGTAATAACAAGGTTTTGCTGACGAGGCTGTTTGAAGAGATATGTAGAGCCATTCAAAGATAATGGCGAGCTGTATTTAGTGACATGGTCTCTATATAGTGCCGAACCGTTCCTTGTGATGATACGTGTTGAGATAAAACAATGCTGAGGCGTCTTATTAACGACGAGGCGACCTGTGGAAGCTACGCCGAGCCGAATAAACAATGAGCCGTTTTGTGTAAAGATGTCGAACCGTCGGGACGTTCTTGTTTGATAATACCGAGCCATGTTCCAAGGCAACAGCGAGGCGTTTCTGTTAGTGATGCTGAGCCATGTCTCAAGGATACGACGAGGGGTTTCTGTTAGCAATGCCGAGCCGTGTTTCAAGGTAACGACGAGGCGTTTCTGTTAGCAATGCCGAGCCATGTTTCAAGGTAACGACCAGGCATTTCTGTTAGCAATGCTGAGCCATGTTTCAAGGTAACGACGAGGCGTTTCTGTTAGCAATGTCGAGCCGCGTTTCAAGGTAACGACGAGGCGTTTAAGGCGAAACAGAATGCCGAGCCGAATAAACGACGACGCGTTTTGTGACAACTATGCCAAGACTTCAGCTGAAGACTCAGACCTCCCGACCGTTGGTCTTCCGAAAGAAGATTCTCGGATACCAGCGCGTGTAACCGACGCGGCCAGAGTTTATTTATACCCTACGGATTCCAAGCGTTGTTGTATTGATGGCTTTCCGAGGTTCACGTGGAACTCACGCGCCTCTGCCTGTTCTATAAGAAGTTGAATCCCCCTTTTTTTTACTCATAATTTCAGATCTTCGATTTCACTAAAGGTAACTCTCCCTTCTCTCTTCTTTCTCTCTCTAGTTTATTTATTTTCCGGCTAGGGTTCCGAGGCCTCCGCCGCTCCAGATCTTTTTCCGAAAAAAAACTTCCGCGTAATATTGTAATTCCTGTACAAACTATAAATCATGTCAAACCGCTCCGACGATTCGCTGGATCCGCTTTTTTACTACGAGCCGAGCCGCTTAGATGCCGAGGTGAGAGACGTAACAGGGTCTTTCGAGGCATCTGTCTCGCCGAGCCCTTCCAATCATTCATCTGAAAGCGACAAGGCGTCGAATCACTCGAATCCATCAGGTGCTCGCTCTCCCAATAACGAGCCGTCGGTTTCGACGAGCTGGTCCCGGGGTCCTGCCTATAATGAAGACGTTGATTATGCTGCAATAAAAGCTGCCGGTCGAGGCGAGACTTGAATTAGAACGTCTCATGACATCCCGAGGTGCTTCTTCGTCTGAGCAGAGGAAACACAAGCGAGGGAAAAGACAAAAACCTGACACGCCTGGTTCCACACTCTCTTCCCCCGACTCACTTGAGGCGTTGCGATGTCGTTTTGGAATATCCGAGGCGGTGGAATTCGTCCTTCCAGAGAAGAGCGACCGAGCTGACAAACTGCCTGAAAATCACTTCACCCTGTACAAGGCGTTTTTGAGCTCTGTTTCCTCTGGTTCCCGATCCCTGGAGTTATCCTCGAGTACCTGTGGAAACACGGGATCTCGATTGGGCAGATTATGCCGAGGGGCTTGCGTCATATGATCAGCATCCTGGTTTGGGGTTTTGAATGCGGACTCGACATTGAGCTGGATCATCTGGTAAACTTGTTGGAGATCAGAAAGGCTCTGAAGGGACGTAGATTTTATATCTCCAACAAGTCCAATCGCCGGATTATAGGCGGTTTCCCAAGCAAAGATCAGTTTTGGACCGAGCGCTTCTTCTATGTCTTGGTGAACGAGGCGTCGGTTGGCGAGGACTTCGTCCGAAAAACCAAGACCGCTTGGGGACCACTTGGTAGCCGATCCGAAGCTTTGCCTCGGCTTGGAGCTGTTATGGTACGATTTTCCCTCACTAAACTGGTTGTTTTTGTGTTGTTTTTGCAGTTCGGAGCATTCTTTCTCCAGTTCCTGACGACCTCTTCGTTGTTCGAGATACTCTTGCGGCTCGAAAAGTCAATTGGAGGAAGCACTTTACGTTTGAGAGAGTGAAAAGAGTGCGAGCCATTTTCGCTGGAGTACCTGTTAGCTCTTCGTCTTCAAATTCTTCAGGAGATAGAAGGGAAAAAATGGTGACCATCACTCTTAGAGACAGAAAGAGGCGTGAAGAGGAAGAGGCTACAAAACGAGCCGCCGAGGAGGCTCAAACGGAGGGCGAGGCTATCCCTCAAGACGATCCGCCGAGCAGTGAAGGGGAAGGTGCGATCCGAGCTGTGGAGGCAAACGTTACCGAGGTGATTGAGAAGGAGGTGGCGCCCGAGGTGGAACCGGGTGAGATCATCCCCAAGGCGCCCAAAGACGATTCTGCAGCTCGGAGCAAAACACCTTCCAACTCGGCTATTTTGGCTCTCCCAAAGTCGTCAAGGCCCCCGGCTTCGCAACTACAGAAACACGACGCTGGTCGAAAACGATCAGCCACTGAGAAAGGGAAATGTGTGGCTGTTCAGAAAAACAAGCCGCCCAAGAAGAAACACAAACCGGCGTCTGGTGATCCCGCTTCACGCAAACTGGTCGTCGATGACCCGGATGTCTCGGCGGTGATGTTTTCGCGTGTTAACAACGCAACCCGCGTCTTCCTCCTCCCGAGCAGCTGAGGAGACTGAGGTCCTATGGCGCGATGGCACAGCGAGGCACCAAAGTCTGTTCTGTTTATTTTTCCTTACTTTTTTCGTGTCGAATTCTGGCTAAGTGTTTAACACATATTATTCTTCGCAGTTCGTAGCGGCTATCAACGAGCTGATGGCTGAGTACGAGACGGACCTGTCTAAGGTCGAACGTTGTCTGGATGAAGCTCGGAATGAGACTTCGACAACAAAGGGGAAGCTGGACGAGGTGATGACCAAGGTGAAAAGGCTGGAAGAGGAGAAGATAGGCCTTCGTGCCGATGTCGACAAGGTATCCGCCACGGTTGTTCGCCTCGATGAGGCGAGGAGAGCCAAAAGCGCCAAGGTGGCGTTGCTTAAGAGGCTGATCGAGGCCAAGGATGCCTTGTTTGATGCTAAGGTCAAGCGTGCGAAGAAAAAGGCGAGGCGAGAGTTGACAGCCAAGTCTCAGGAACGCCTTGCCAAGGTGGAGGAAGGTCTTGCCAAGCTTGAGAAGGCCAAAACTGACGAGAATGAGCTAGGGCAGATCAAGGGCAACCTTGCTATGATCGACGACCTGAGGAAGCCGGATGGCCCGACTCTCGATGACGAAGATGCGAAGTTAAAGGGTTGGGAGAGCCAATACGTCGACGATGAGGCGTATGAGCGCATCGCATCTGAGATCTGAGGTGAGCTAGTCTTCTCGCCCGTGTCGCCAGATTCTGTAGATACCTTCCTAGGTAACGAGCCGATTGAGGAGACAGCAGATAATCTGGGTGTTGGAGATCCGACCGGATCGAACGCGGGTACGCCGGCCCTTTCGAACCTCCTTGCCGAGCGAGAGACGCAGTCTGCAGCTTGACTCTCCCCCTTCCTCCCTTGTCTTTTATTTCTCATGTTTTGTACTAAGTACCTGGATGGCTTTATCCGCTTTTCGAACTCGCGTGTTTTTGTAATTGGCGCCAGGATGTCTTTATCCACTTGACTATTGATTTTGTTGATGGATTGATTTGGTAGTGGTTATACCTATCTTTCCCCTTAGTCATTTTTTGGAATTGTTACTTTTGCCTTCAGTGGATTGAAGACTTTTTAGAAAGCTGTTGTTGGACCGAGCTGTCATTACTTGGTTCGTCAAGCCGGGCCAAGATTGCTTTTGTTTTCTTTTCGGGCCGAACCGTTACGAAAAGTCGATAAAAATCGGATTAAGGAATAGGTTGTTTAAGTTATAGTTGGTTTTTCTAGATATCGTATAAATTCTGTTTAAGTCTAAATCCCGAGCTAGGAGATGCTTTGTGACGTGTCCTTGTTTTAGGTAACTCTTACAAAAGAGATTAACGTTATTTTATGTCGTTAGCGCCGAGGCGTTTGAGTTAGGAAAGAGAGAGTGCGAGACATTTTAACTCGGATTTAGTTTTGGCCGTCTGAGGCGCTAAGTTTGGAACTCTCGTTGTCGAGGTCCACGTCCTGAGATGATATCAGAGGGATATCAGAGTTCGATTATAGACCGGCGTTCCCGAGAGGGTGAATGCGTTTTCCGGGTTTTAAGAGTTCATTTTGGTTTTAGAGAAAACGATGTAGTCTCGACTTACAATCTCGTGTGCGATGACGAACCGTGGCGACCGATACGTTTTTGGTCCGAAATTTGTATAGCGCGCTTGATTTTAATCCATAGAGGATGTGACTTGCACCCTCGTCCTAGGAAATGTGGTAAAAAGTCCATTTAGAGAACTTTGTGACTGTTGTTTCATTGTGGCCAGCAACGAGGCGAGGTGTTTGGAACTATAGATCAGAAAGTTTTGCCGAAGTGAATGCAAGGACAAGTAAAAGTCTAGGAGAAGTGTACACAAGTGATGAATGAAAAACTAACCGAAGAGACAATGAATGAATTAAAAATCCGACGTGAACATGAGTAAATGAAAAACTAACCGAAGTGACAATAAGTGAGTGAAAAATCCGAAGTGACCATGAAAAACTAGCTGGTTTAAAATGAATGAAAAACTAGCCGAAGTGACAATGATCTTAGAGATATTAGACTTAACGAGCTGAAATCTTAAATTTAATGAAGGTATGTGTATACGTATCCACTCCTCCCCCCTTTTTAGGAGGGGGGACAGCTGAACCCGTCTGAGGACGGGCTGTCTACGTACCCTTTGCAGGGATCAAGCCGTCACGTAGTTTGTTGGGGTCGATTTCCACCCCACACAGGTAAACCATCCCAAAATAACTAAGTATAGAAAATGGGAGAGCCGTGATCATCAAAACGGGAGAGCCGTTCTCACCAAGGCAAGAAGGAGAGCCGTTTTACCAAGAAAGGCGGGAGAGCTGCGATCGCCAGGTGGGAGAGCCGAGAAGAAGGAGATGGACCGAGCCGTATAACATAACATAGGCCGAGCCCCTGTCTTAAATACCTGGGCCGAGCCGTGCCGCGGAGAGGTGGAGCGAATTATGTCAAGTGGGCCGAGCCGTAAAGAAAGCATGACGGGCCGAGCCAAAGCCTTGAAGAGGCGAAGCCCACGAAAAACCCTAGGCGAGATGCAAAGTCGGTCAGCCACACGAGGCGATAAGGAAATATTCCGAAAATCTCGCCCGAGATTCTCGGCTAGGCGGTTTAGAAAATCAGTATAAATATGTGGTGTATGTAATTCATTCTGCCAACTTTGGCAACCCTAAACAATAAGAACGAAACACTTTCACAGCAAGAAAGGCTCTCTTTTGATCTTACTGTCTTTGGCGATAAACCCTAGAAGTTTCCGATCCCTAAGTTTCTCTACAAATCTTTGGTTGTGCGAGTTTTGGCTCACACAATTTGGCGCCGTCTGTGGGGACACGAAACTTTCTTACTCTATATCGACAAAGCTTTAAGATTCGAAGAAAATGGCGAGCAACGCTAACGACGACAACAACAACACCGGTAACGGCGCGGATATGGACGCTCCAGGATCAGGCACAACGACCGCGCCGACAACAACGGCGACGACCGAAACCCATGAGGAGATGCGATACATGATAGCTGCGTTGATGAAAAAGATCGACGACCAAGACAAAAGAAACGAGGCGATTACGGCGAGGCTCGACGCAATGGCAGCAGAGCGACAGCATCCGACTTGGAGAGCCGGAGTCAACGACCCGATGGACGGAATTCGGAGACGCTTCGACTTCTCGACGCCCGCCGAAGCCTCAGGGAGTGGTGCAAGAAACTCCTCTTTTCTTCGTCCCCTCGACGAACGCACTCCTGCAGCAACCCGAGTCAACATGACCGAGCCGCCTCCACTACGCCGCAACTCCAGGCAACGAGCCGGTGAGGAAGGAGACGACGCGATCGACGTAGACGCCCAGAAAAACGACGAGACCATAAATCCGCAACAAACTGGCTCGGCTCGTCGAATCAGTGAAGAAGGACTCGCCTCGGCACCGAACGGCATCCGAACTAACGAAGTCTCCGATCCAGCCCGAGGCGATAACTGATAGACATGGCACTTTAGGGTCTCAGGGCTATCAATCCCCTTGTCAATGTAGCACAAAGAGGTTTATCAATCCAGATGTGGTGTTAGACACTAAACTATATGATCAAGTTCTTAATTCAAGCAAACAAGAGTGGGTTTTGATTAATCTAGAGACAACTATAAACATAAACAGGATTAAAGACTAATGACAATGACAAATGATATGAATATGATATGATGGAGGCATGAGATTCTAGACATGATAGTTGGTTAGGGTGCTTTGGTGTTAAACTAGAAATGCTAATGACAATGATGAGACATGATTCAAATGATTAAGAACTCTAATCTAGGTTAATCCTCTCATGAAGGCATTAACCCCTATACTAATCCATTTTCAAACCAAATTCCCATTTGTGAAACATGAATCAATATGCATTAACAAACAGCTCTTAATGATCATTCAAGTATTTAACAAATCATTCCCATGATGAAAAATTACTTAAACCTCTAACACAACTCTTTCAGGAATTTCATCAAACACTTTTGGTGCATGAAATTCCCAGAATCTAAATCTCAAGTGATTATCAAGGATCTAGCATAGAGAACAGCTGTTTAGAGAGATGAATCAATGAATCTAGCCCTAAGCACTCCTAATCTAACACTTTAGCACCCTAACCTACACATCTAGAACCTCATTAGGGTGACTACTCACTAATCATACTAATCTCTCTTAAACCTTTGCAAGTTGAGTAGATTAGCATGATTAATGATGAGAAATGGAGATGGAGATGATAGATTCCAAAGAAAACAGCTTTAAACACCCAGATCTCTTTAAACTCTCTTGATTAAACACTCAAATAAAGATATTTCTCTTCTTAATAGAGTCTTTTCACCAAAGAGGCAAGAGACAAAAGGAATAAAACTTAGTTCCTCCCAAAAAAAACCTAAAAAGTATTTATACTTCCTTAAAAACGAACCGGGTCAGCCCGGAACAAACCGGGTCCTGACCCGGCTTTAATGGATAAAGTGAGAATTACTGCGGGTCAGTCCAGTATGTCCCAGGTCGCACACCTAAGTCGCAGTAGATGAAGACTTGTCTTGTGAAGCCTGAATCGCCTTGTCTTAGCCGCACGCCTAAGTAGGAGTGTTTTGCGAGTGTTGCTGCGGCTTGGTCTCCTTCCTCTCCAACTCGCAGGGCTAAGGCGGTTTCTGGGGAATGTACAAACTGTGCGGGTTGGTCTCTATTGCAACTAGGTCGCAGGCTCAAGTCGGAGTGATTTGCGAGTGATCGTGCGGCATAGTTCCAGGCGCGGCTAACTCGCATGCCTAAGTCGCACGATTGTGGACTTAGCATTTCTCTTGCTCTTGAGCTTCAGACCTCTTCCAGTGATAGTTTACCCGCACATATCAACTCGCAGCATCAGCATTCAGGCGTTCATCTTCAGGCCTGCGGGCTAACCAAGTCGCAAGACCCTCTCGCAGCATCCAGAGCAGCTTAGACCACTTCGCATTCCGGAGAGTGTAACTCCTATGAGACTTGTCCGAATTGAATGATTTCGGTCGCAGAAG